AGATACTATATTGAATAAGTCTGAAACTAATGTGATTTATGAAAAAAAAAATTTACGGAATGCGTAGTATGTTTTTCGTTCATGTCTGTTTTGCTAGCTAATTGAAATGTTAGAATCTTTAATCGACTACGTCTTTCGCAACGATTTTGGCAATTGCCATRGATTATAATATTAGCTAGGTACGAGTATAGTCAATTAGATAAATCCACAGATATATATATTATTTTAATTTTTAATATAACTTTTATATCAACGATGTCCGTAAATACAATTTGTTCATTGATGTAATGAAATKWKRTRATATTWTATAGAAATAATTTATAATTTTAAGATTTTTAAATTTAAATTAGGTACGTTTAATAATATACTTATAAAAGTAGGTACCTATACCTAGGTATTATTTTAATCAGTTTTTTTAAATTTATTTAATTGATTATTTATTAAGGTGTTTAAATCTTAGAAGCATACCTACCTATATGCATATACGCCAGCTAGTTTGTAAAATTCCATGTCAAACATTTTCTCCGAATACGAAATTAACAATTACCTACATTTAATACAATAAATTAATTGTATTGGGTAGATAAATTATATATTATCTTATTTTAAGCTATTCATGAATATTTTAAATTTCATTAATTTATTTCCGATAGATATTAATCCTGCAGGTACTTAACTTTGTAAATGTAATTCAATAAGCAGACTTATAATAATATTTGTCTATTGTCAGTTTCAATGCATAATGCATGTTCAYGCTAAAGGTGACTATCGTGTTTGATCGATTGATGCGATATGGTTGTCCAGGTAGTTTGTGCTCRTTCAATCCACCATCCTCCATCGCCAATTCGATAATTATTTTTATTTTAAAAATATTTAATTTAAATGTTAATGTTTAATAATGATCATTGATTATTTATCAATGCAAAACAGTGTCATTCCCAGGTTTTAGCGAGATCCTGAGCATCATTAGAATTCCAGGCCCTGGATTATATTCTAAAATGTTTGGAAATATTTTATTTACACGATATCTTATATTATTTTATATACACGAGGCCCTGGGMGTATGCCCCGTTTTCCCTGCCCTCGTGAGAGCACTGATGCGAAAATCACTATTGTAAAAGTGGTATACAGATATATTCCACTAATTTATTTATTGGCAGGCTTTAACTATTTTTGATGCGTCAGTCATCGGTAATAAGTTATAA